AGTTATTGAATGAAATTACATCTTGAGCAGTTAAGGTGTAAATTGTAATCAGATACTGATGAATACAATACATCTCCAACACACATATAGCGAGCTCAGATAGCTATGACTCACGATCAATATCGAACATTAACAAGTCAAGCACACACACAAACAGTAGGAAAAGAAAGTTAAACAGAAAACACTACAAAGTCCAATGACCAAGAAATGACTACAGATTTTTTCAATTGATTTCCCAAGCATTCATATTTACGAGGTAATAACTTAGTGATGCAAAATAGGAACCCATAATTCTTCCAATTTTTTGTTTAAAGTAAAGATAACTCCCCACAAAACACAATGTGAAGAAACCCCACTATAGTTTTAGCAATTAAACCCTCAAAGATACAATTGGCAATTATAACCTCAATCTGCACAAACAAGGCTGTACATAGACAGATTAACAGGCATCCCTAAACTCAAAATAAGCAGACAAAACCTGTAAATTGACGGATTTAAGGGGAAAAAAAAAATTCACACACTGAAAAACTTCACTGATTTATAAAAGCCGATAAAATTAAATAAAAATGAGCAAGCTAATCTAGAAAAACAGCAGCAAACTAAAAATTCAGGAAATTAAATATCAAATAAAATCTTTCAGCAATTTTCATACCTTCATAATCATTGCGAACTCATAAAAGCTCATACTTTGAACAAGACAACTTATGAGCTAACAAATGTTCTTTGATTATTGCAAAAACCTCGATTTGAGAAACAAGAATGAGAAGTTTTTTTTTTTTTTCCTCTTCTTCCTTTTCTGTTCTTCCCTTCTCTTTTTCTCCTTGGAACCGAAGCTGAGCTTTGAATATTTTATATTTGGATAAAAGGAGAAAATGAATTGGATTTCTTCATCAGAAGGGAAAAGGGATTTGAAGAGTGCATGAACCTCCGGACAATCTCTCCTTCCGAGTGGGCCCATTTTCAGCTAGTTTATTATGTTTTATTTATTACAAGTATACAAATTTATGAAAAGAGTATGTAACGTTCTTTGAAAATATTTTCCTTTAAAGGTTGAAAGTAGCTGTCTGACCATCAAATCTTACTTCAAGATATACATGAAACACAAATTATTATGTGGGATTCTATGAAAAGTATACTTTTATTTATGTTCTTTACTAAATTATCCTTTTAATTTAAAAGTACATGTATCCGTTAAAAAATATAGTTGTCTGATCCCCAAATAAAAACAAAGCTTGTCATTTTAATTTAAATATATATATATCTATTGATAAACATAGTTGCCTGATAAAAACAAAAAAGAATGATATACAAATTTTTTGACATTAACCAAGACTCTGCTTTAAAATCAAATCCAAAAAAACAATAAAAGTTGTAATACCCTTGAGATAGGGACAATTTTTCTTTTTCAAAACACCACTTTCCAAACTTAAATCTAGAGGCATCATTTTTTATTTAATATACACAACTTGTTGCACATTATAATTATTATCAGTTCTTGCAGCATAATTTACACAACCTTTGCTTCAACTACAAACTGATAATTCTTCCAAGTAAAATAACCAAAAATGGCATCCTATGGATTTTTCTCATTTATCATTTTCTCCCTATAATATTCTCCATTTTTAATGTCCAGATTCTCATTCATCAACACACAAGCCCAGCTCAAAATCAACAAGACTGCAAACACATATTACATATAAATTTATACTTCCATGTAACTGAGGCATAAGATATTACATTTTCAATTTCCAAAACTAAGGCCAAATCTCATTAAAACTGTGTGAAATTTAAGAAGCAACATTAGTGGATTCACCACAAAATGCATCAGGCTCAAAGTTTCTTGCAGAATCATCGTTGTAAATTCCGAGCACGGCTCTTCCTCCGGGCTCTTGTGATGTTGTAATATACGCAGCTTTTTGGGAGTCCTCGGAGTTAATGAGGATGATTATGCACACAAACAACGATGTCCCGAGAAAAATTAGCGTGTTCTTGAGCCGGCCCAGAACAGGCTTCACCTGTTGGAAAGTTGTATGCAGTTGAAGTAATTCTGGAAGAAAAAAATATCTAATTTTTGAAACATTATACTATAGTTTGTTACTCTGTGTTTGAAAACAAAACTAAAAATTACCTTCATAAAATCTTAAAACTTTTCTTGGGGCGTGAAAGTGATTTTTATCATTTTATGGGACCAATTTTCAGCAAACTTATACTTAGTTAAGGGGCCAAAAGTGCAAATGGTGGTGAGTTGGGGGTGGGAAAGTGAAGACTTACAGAGAATGAACCAAGAAGCCTATCACGAGCCAAAACTTCAGCAGTCTTCACCCATATCTGTAGGTGAAAAACTCTGCATCAAATGAGGCAACTAGGGACTCACAAACATGGAAGAAAAAAGTAGAAAATTCCAGGAAAAAAAATAAAAGCCATAAAAAGCTCTCAACTTTTTGGCCAACATTAACCCAATCCCAAAAACTGAAAATTCGAGCACAAATCCTTGTATGAGGCTACCAAAAATGTCATACTTTTTGTTCATATAATAACATTTTGTAATATGACATTTTAATTTAAAAATATTTATATTTTTCTTGAACGAATATGATAGTCCAATCCTTAAGTCTGTCTAACAGCAACCTTACAGACAACTATCAATAAATTACTTATAATTCACGCTCAAACAACCGATTCAAAATCAATTACAAATTTAAGGAAATCACTCGTCAATGAATATAATGTAGTCATGTCCCATTGCAAAATGTCATTCAGCAGTTTAAATAGAAGTAGAATGTGTAATTTACTAATTTCACATGATTTTCTCATAAAATTCTTGCCCTCATCTAATGTGATGGGCACTTGTTCAATGCCCACAAGAGTAGTAGCTTCTAATGTTCTTGAGCTAATTTCAATTATTCCTTCTAATAATGAGAAATATTGCTTTATATATAATCATCGACCAATCATGATACTCTACTAATGAAATCAGCTGGTATGAATGGACGTAGACTTTAGCCACTCACCATAAATATAGCACAGCTAAATTCTATAAATGAATGTAGATCCAACTAATAAAATAATCATTTTAAACTTTAAAGTCTTTTTATGCATAATATATAAGGACAACATGATTAAAGTTATCAAAATGAGTTGCTCGTGGGTCGTGGCTCAGCTATTTAAGGCTCGAGCTTTACTTGATTCGTGTGATAAACAAGTTGAACTCGAACTTATTTAGTTAAAACCGAGCTGAGCTCGAATATAAAATTTTTATATAATTTTCATTGGCTATAATCTTTAACTCAGCTTGACTCAATAAAAGCTCATAGTACACAACAACTAGACCATAAGACCACTTACATTTGAGGGAAAAACGAAAAAGATATATATATATATAGAGAGAGAAAAATACCTGGCCATCATACCATCCTGTCTCTTCATCTGTCTCCAAGGAAAAAAGGAAATTAATTTAAGAAAACGAAGTCTAAGAGCACCCACAATGCTTTGGGTTTCTTTAAAAAAAATTACATGCCATGTAGAAAATAGACCTAGTCTATAAAAAAAGTACTTCATAATGCAATTAAAAGTAGACCTAGTCTAGCTTATATGACAATAAAAAAAAAAGACCAAGTCCACCCTTTGGGTCTCTTTTTGCATATGTGGCAAATAAATAGACTTAAGTCTATAATGACATGGACAAACCCAAGCTAAAAAGTCCAAAATTTATCCAATGTAAAAAAAAGTATTAGGTCTAGAATACCTAACAACCAATAAAAATATAATAATAGTAAATGATTGCTATTGTAAGGTTCACACTTGGATCCAAAATAGACCCAAGAGTGGACTTAGTCTCTTTTTTTTATTGCCACATAAGCTAGACTAGGTCTACTTTTAATTGCATTGTGAAACATTTTTTTATAGAATAGGTCTATTTCCTACATGCCATGTGATTTTTTTTAAAGAGATCCAAAGCCTTGTGGGTACTCTAAACTTGGGTTTATCCATGACATTATAGACTTAAGTCTATTTATTTGTTACATATGCAAAAAGAGATCCAAAAGTATTGTGGGTGCTCTAATACCCCAATAACAAAGGCTATAATTTATCAATTTAGTAATTTTTAATAATAATGAGAGAGATAATAATTAATAAATAATTAAATATAATAGCTCACATTCCACAGTGGCACTCAACAGGCGGTTGCCAACATAGGCCCAGCCCAAATACATCCTCACAACAGCAAGGATCACAACAAAGAGTCCACTCGAAGCCGCGCCCAAAACGAGTCTAACGGGCTCGGATTTGGGCCCAACCGACCCAAACCAAGAAACGGGAAGGCCCACGAACAGCGCGAAGCAGGCCCCTGTGACGAAGAGCCTCGAGCCGAACTCTACAGCGTCGCCAGCGGCCCACGAGAAGGGGAAGGAGTCGGACAGGGCCTGGTACTCGTTAATGGGCTGCTGGTCCAGGGGCACGGGGCAGCCCGTTTCTGGAGGGGTATTGCTGTTATATTTGAAGGATGAGAGGGGTATTTTGGGGAAGGTGGATTGTGTCGGAGTTTTTGGATATGGTGAAGTGGTGGTTAGGGTTAGTTGGCGGGTGGAGGGGAAGAGGAGAGAGGGTGAGGAGAGAGGGTGAGGAGAGAGAATGAAGGCTGTGCCTGTGCAGTTGCACTATCGTGTGCCTAGGCACACCTTGCTAGGTGTGCCATGCCCGATTTGCACGCGCTGCTCATTCTCAAAAAGCTCAAAAAGCTAGAAAATTTAGAAGGTGTAGTGCACTCTCTCAATTTTTATTTTTTAATGAAAAACTGAGACATATTACATAAATTAAAATATCATTAATTATTTATATTAAAAAAATAAAATAAAAATACCAAAATTCATAATTTTTCATTATCTATAAATAGAGACCACATTTGATAGGTTTTTGAACACAACTAATTTTCGTTTTTTGGTAACATGTTCACCTTATTGTGTATGTAAGATGTTCATTTTATTCTATAACATGTCATTTTATTATGTAACATGTTCATCTTATTCTATAACATGTTCATTTTATTATGTAACATGTTCATTTTATTCTATAACATGTTCATCTAATTTTCATCTGTGAAAATGTAACATTTTCATCTTATTAGAGAGGATTTTGGTTTGTGAAGGTGGAGGATATTCGATCGAAAGACTAATTTATGAAATTTATTTTACATTCTACTAGTTTTTCACTTTCATTCCCTATAGTATGACTATTGCATAAATTTGAGTTCTTATCTGTAGATTATGGTTTATTATTTCAGGGCGGAGATGCTTGCATTAAACGAGTGAAAGTCGAGCAAGAAATTGACCAGAATTTTATATATGAAGTGGAAATTGGAGAAAATAATGTGAGAGCCCGTGATGTAGATATGGAATCTAAACATGTCCATCTTATTCTATAACATGTTTATTTTATTATGTAACATGTTCATCTTATTCTATAACATGTTCATTTTATTATGTAACATGTTCATCTTATCCTATAACATGTTCATTTTATTATGTAACATGTTCATCTTATTTTATAACATGTTCATCTAAATTTCATATGTGAAAAATGTAACATTTTCATCTTATTAGAGAGGATTTTGGTTTGTGAAGGTGGAGGATATTCGATCGAAAGACTAATTTATGAAATTTATTTTACATTCTACTAGTTTTTCACTTTCATTCCCTATAGTATGACTATTGCATAAATTTGAGTTCTTATCTGTAGATTATGGTTTATTATTTCAGGGCGGAGATGCTTGCATTAAACGAGTGAAAGTCGAGCAAGAAATTGACCAGAATTTTATATATGAAGTGGAAATTGGAGAAAATAATGTGAGAGCCCGTGATGTAGATATGGAATCTAAACATGTCCATCTTATTCTATAACATGTTTATTTTATTATGTAACATGTTCATCTTATTCTATAACATGTTCATTTTATTATGTAACATGTTCATCTTATCCTATAACATGTTCATTTTATTATGTAACATGTTCATCTTATTTTATAACATGTTCATCTAAATTTCATATGTGAAAAATGTAACATTTTCATCTTATTAGAGAGGATTTTGGTTTGTGAAGGTGGAGGATATTCGATCGAAAGACTAATTTATGAAATTTATTTTACATTCTACTAGTTTTTCACTTTCATTCCCTATAGTATGACTATTGCATAAATTTGAGTTCTTATCTGTAGATTATGGTTTATTATTTCAGGGCGGAGATGCTTGCATTAAACGAGTGAAAGTCGAGCAAGAAATTGACCAGAATTTTATATATGAAGTGGAAATTGGAGAAAATAATGTGAGAGCCCGTGATGTAGATATGGAATCTAAACATGTCCATCTTATTCTATAACATGTTTATTTTATTATGTAACATGTTCATCTTATTCTATAACATGTTCATTTTATTATGTAACATGTTCATCTTATCCTATAACATGTTCATTTTATTATGTAACATGTTCATCTTATTTTATAACATGTTCATCTAAATTTCATATGTGAAAAATGTAACATTTTCATCTTATTAGAGAGGATTTTGGTTTGTGAAGGTGGAGGATATTCGATCGAAAGACTAATTTATGGAATTTCTTTTACATTCTACTAGTTTTTCACTTTCATTCCCTATAGTATGACTATTGCATAAATTTGAGTTCTTATCTGTAGATTATGGTTTATTATTTCAGGGCGGAGATGCTTGCATTAAACGAGTGAAAGTCGAGCAAGAAATTGACCAGAATTTTATATATGAAGTGGAAATTGGAGAAAATAATGTGAGAGCCCGTGATGTAGATATGGAATCTAAACATGTTCATCTTATTCTATTACATGTTCATTTTATTATGTAACATGTTCATCTAAATTTCATCTCTGAAAAATATAACATTTTCATCTTATTCTATGACATGTTCATCTTACTCTATAACATGTTAATCTTACTATGTAACATATTTATCTAATTATATATTTGCGTCATAATCTTCCAATAAGATAAATTAATTGTAAAAAATGATAAATTAATTGTGTTCCAATGTTCATATGTTCATCTTACTATATAACATGTTCATATGTTCATCTTATTTTATAACACGTTCATATGTTCATCTTATTGTGTAAATATGTAACATGTTCATCTTATTCTATAACATGTTCATCTTGTTATGTAACATGTTCATCTTATTGTATAAAATGTTCATCTAAATTCCATCTGTAAAATTATAACATTTTCATCTTGTTCTGTAACATGTTCATTTTACTATATAACATGCGCATCTTAGTATGTAACATGTTCATCTTATTATATATTTGTGTCATCACCTTCCAAAAAGATAATTTAATTATAAAAAAGGATAAATTAATTGTGTTCCAAAACTTATCAAATGTGGTCTCTATTTGTAGAGATTGAAAAATTATGAATTTTGGTATTTTTATTTTTATTTTTTAATATAAAATGTGAATAATAATTTAATTTATATAATATGATATGTAAAATTTATTATCCAATATATATTGGACACTTGTCTTTTTTAAACAAAAAAAAAAAAACTTGCATACCTTATTATCTCTCTCTCTGCGCGTGCACCTAGGATTTGGACAGGATTTTTATTTGTAAAGCCACGCTCCTTTTTCTTACGTGTAGCCACTCTCTGCCTTGGTACACCTAGCAAGGTGTACCTAGGTGCACGTAAGTATTTGCGGTGCCTGTGGCCATTTTCTTTTAATAAATTCCTTTTTTTTTTCTTTTTTTTTGGTTTTTTTATTGGGAGGCTTTTGATGAGAAATGCTATGGAGCCAATCACCAATGTTATAGTGCCACGTAGGCCATGTGAAAAAATAATTAAGTCCACATGACCTACGTGGCACTATAACGTTGGTGGTTGGCTCCATAAATGAACCAATTGACTTCATAACATTTCTCGGCTTTTGATAGGATGTGGGTTGATATGGTGGTGGTTGGAATTTGTTGTGTATAAAAACTGTTGGGAATGAATGCTTTTGTGTTTTGAAGTAACTGTAGAGAGGAAAGGAAAGAGCTTTCGGATAAATGACAAAAACTGGAATTTAACCAAGAACATGGAAAAATGAATTCCATGAGTAGTATTTTTTATAAGATTAGATTACTCTAATGTATCTTTAAATTGTTAGGTCTTGTATTAGTTCGACCTAATTGTTGAATACTATTTGTGAAAATATGAGCATTTTGCATACTTTAAAGTATGATGAGTTAATATTGGTGAAAATATGAGTATTTTCTTTCAAGGCATACTTTGAAGTATGATGAGTTAATACAAAGATTTTGTAATCTTGGAAACACATTTATCATATCAAAAATTACAAACCTATATTTAGTTCCAATCATAAACCTGAAATATTACTTCTATGTAAATGTTTTGTCCAAAAGTTGCTAATCACTCAAATTAATTATCCATGTCTCTGTTTTCTCAAATAAACTTGTATTTGTACCTAAACAAAAGATTTATGTGCTACACTACATACAAATTGAAATAACAAAAGAATCGATTTTGCTATGAAGCTAATAGTTGGCTCCATAGTGGAGTCAACCTTCTATATACAACAAATAAACTTATCATATTAATAAAGTTATATTAATGTTATTTAAGTAATCAAAGAATATGGTAGGTTTACTTGTTGTATATAGAAGGTTGGCTCCATTATGGAGCCAATTGTTGGCTTCATAATTTTGCCAACAGTTCAGATTTTGCCAACACATAGACGACCTATCTTGTTAGTACGCGTTAACCTGAGACGATTAGACAGGTTCTCCACATTCAGAGTCGAATTGAGTTGTTCACAACATTCACCATTTTTTCTCCTCATGATTGATCATGGTCGGTACACAATTAAAACAAACGACGACAGTTTTACTTTTACATAAACGGATTGAAGTTGCAATTTCCACTTTCTTTAGAAAGAAACTCTTCTTCGGGTACAAACCTGCAGAGACCTATTTTTACACTTGCTCACTTGATGATCTCAACAGATGCAAAAACTCTTTTTTTCTTTTTTTCTTTCATCCTCTTTTTTTATTCGAGGTTCTTACAAATAGATAATACTACATTGATTCGATCCTAGAAACACGAAGAGATGGTCATTTTACCATTTTTCTCTTCCCTTTTTTAAGGTCTACACCAACTAATTAACGCCTTTTTTTTTTCCCTCCACTGCAGTTTTTGAAGTTGAAGGCTTCTCGAGTTCCCAATATGACTGTGATTCTTACCTCTTATCATACTTGATTTTTGGGTCCAAAACAAGCTTTTTCCCTATTCTCTACACCAACATCAAATGCCGATTTCTATAGCTTTACAGTGAGGCGTTGCAGACCCTTGAGTCGGGTAATAATCTGTGCAAAAGAAGGCCGTGCCTGTGGGTTTCTGCACAATATTATGCCTCGATCAAAATCACTTGGGGGTAAAATCACAAAAATTACCTCAACAGGTGCATTTTTTTTAAATAAAAAATAAAAAATAAAAACAAATGCCAATTAGCTTATCTGTAAATTTAAGATCACTATTTTTTTTTATGTTTTTTCAATTAGACTACATATAATGGGGTAACTTTCATTGTTAAGCCTATATAATGAACAGCTCATTCATTCAGACAGTAATGAATTACTGAAAAAAAATATAAGAATCATAAACATGCTCAATAGAAGGTTTCAGTTAGGAAACTGACCTACAGCAACAATCGTTTATTATGTCCACTACAAGGGGATCGACTGTGTGTGGGATATCCAGGTGTCGACCCTGGAATCCGACAGCTCCAACAACCTGCATCGAGTTCATCCCAGTCCATGGTACTAACAGAGTTGCCAGTTCCCATAGTATGACTCCAAAACTATATACATCAGATCTGCAAATTCAAGAAATCGATCTTATCAGTTACCAATGAGATGCTAATCATGACACTAGTAAGGAGTGAACCACTCAAGAGTACAGATGGACTCCTATAAACTCACTTCTCATTAGATGGTTCGTTCCTCAGGACCTCTGGGGCCATCCACTCGGCCTGCACATTTACATGAAAAATAGCCACTAAATAAATTAGAAAAAAAAAAAAAAAAAAAAGAAGAATCTTCTTCAATGGAAGGTGCTAATACATGGTAAGAAAACAAGCATATTACCGTCCCAGCAGCTGACTTTGAAGATAGAAAAGTATGGTGCTGAAGACGTGACATCCCAAAATCACAAACCTACAATATTTTTGCAGGAAGAGAAATTTTATTAGGTGACGGGAAATCCATCATTGAAATGAATGAGATGGTCGAAGGAAAACTTGGACAGACCTTAACCACCCAATTTTTATCAACAAGGAGATTTGGAGTCTTCAGATCTCGGTGTACAATGATTGGATGGCTTGTATGCAAATAATTCATTCCCTTTGCCTACCAGAATTTGACATGTTAGCAGGTTGTAAAAGAACCTAACTGAAGAAAAAAATGGGGATTCATTATTATCAAACCAATACCACATCGAGCGCCATTTTTATACGCCTTTTCTCGTCTATTTGGATATTTGGACGGTGTAGCAGCTTATATAAACTACCCCTGCAAGTGTCACAGGTATTAGAAGCACCAAAGTAGGAAATAAAGATATCTATTATGATTAATCACCAGTCCAATTATAACCTGGTGCTCCCACTTCATTTTCTCCCTTGCTTTTTTGGAAAAAAAAAAAGAAAAGAAAAAGATAATGATGGTGCGTTCACATATTGCATAAAGATGTAAAACACATAAAGCACTCAAGTTAATATACACATGCCCGTAATGCGGCAGGAAGATTGAATAGCTGGGGAGTTTAAGGAGTGGCTATCTCCTATATAAGTCAGATATGCAGATAGCAAGATGAGATAAAACGAAAACTTGTATTATAAGGTACAGCATAAGCCAAGAGACTAACAATAATGCTCAGTAAAACTTCTGTTTTGCATAGAGATTCATTATATGATGTATTCTAAGAGAGATAAAACCATCAGAACTACGTTGGCTCCATGAGTTTGCACAGGCTAAAGAGTACTGACCTTGGAAGAAATTCTGTCAATATAGACAAATTTGGGGGCCGCGTCACAGCTCCCATGAAAAGAACAACATTAGGATGTCTCAACCTCATCATGATCTCAACCTGCATCAGGAAACAGTAAAGAAGAGTCAAAACCAAAGAAAAAACCTTCTCAGCAGATATATCATACATTTGACATAAAGAAGTTCCAAAATCACATTTACCTCACATTTAAATTGTGCAAGTGCATCACCTGAGATATCTTGGTTCATAAACTTCTTCACTGCAACTTCCTGTCATGTAATAACAAATAAAAACATAAAAATGAGGAATTGTAAGACATTATGGCCGATGGTAAACATAAAACAGACAGGGAGGCCTCATCTCCGGAGCATAAAGAAAACCAAGGACAACAAAACAATACAAACACTGCACAAAAATGCAAACTATATATGTATAAATTACCATAAATCTCATAACAAGTATATTAAAACATTCACTGCAATCATGTTGCTAAAACTACAACCTACCGTTCCATTCCATTCTGATCGGTAGACCTCACCATATGACCCTGCAAAATTGACAAAGCATTTATTAAGTATTCAATACTAGAAACGGCATCACAGAAACTATCGTACTCTCTCAAGAGAAGGCTATAGCCTATTACATATCCAAATTTACGAGACTCTTGCATGCATAAATAAGTTAACACACACACACACACACACACACTAATCAAGGAGTAATAAAACAGATGTGCAATAACAAATCTATTGCAAGAACTCTTACCTATACCAATACGTTCGCCAATTTGAAGATCCTCCCATAATATCTCGGCAACTCCATTTAGCACAGGATCAATTTGCACGTCGTGGATCATGTTAACATTTGATTGATCATTGCCAGACATTAACATAGCTTCCGCATTTCCAGAAAAATCAGCAAGTTCTCTACCAATCAGAGTATCATAATCGATAATAATCCCCTCATTTCTATCACGCACAAGCACATTTTGTTCCCCTGGAATATTAAGAGCCAGGTTATTTCCTCCCGAGTCCTGTTTAAACAGTTGTGTCCCCAATCCTACAGCTGGCTGCTCCCTGCTACTGTTACAGGGCAGGTTAAATAACTGCAACCTAGTATCAGGTACAAGAGGGTGCTCATTTGTAGTCAAATTTATCTCTGCCTGGCACTGGTCAACCAATCTGCCTCTCCTCATTTGACCATTAATTTCCAGCATTTTGTCTTCCCTGATATCATAGTTATTCATGTTTAAAGGAAAATTATTGGGTGCCAGTGCATACTCCTCAGTACATAAGGTAGGAACTTCCCCATGGAATTCTGCTTCCCTGGCGGCACTAGAAGCATAATAGGAAGCATCTTCAGGACATGAGTCCCGTCCGCTTAATTTATAGTTCCCAGCACATGATGACTCTTCATATACTGTTGGTGGAACATAGAGATCTCGATGATCATGTTCCAACTGCTTGGTCTGCATTTTTCGTGATATTTTCCCGCCTTTTATATTTGATTTCATGGCAATAGCAGATGATTCTGAACTTGAACCAGCAGATTTCTGAGTGTCATCCACACTGGGTGCAAAGAAACTAATCTTACCCCCTTTATTAGATTCTGCAGTACCCAACATGCTGTCAATACCAGCAAAAGTAGAAATACTCCTTGCCTCTAGCCCAAAATTTAGTGGATGACCACTAGGTACCTCAGCGGGAATGAGTGTGCCCGGAGATCCCATCAGATCAATTATGTATTCACTGCGTTAATTGAAAAATTGTCACTACATCCTCGCAAACAATTATTAACAAAAACTAACAGTTCTAAGCACATAGAGTCGCACTGAAAACATGAAAGAGCTGCAAGACTTTACTTTCTAACTGGTATTTCATAGGATAACACATTTAGGGAACAAAAAGCACTTCTCTTATAAAAAGATAACAAGATTGAGAATTTCCCAAAATCCCACTTTTGTATGCTTCATATTTTTACCTCAACGAAACACAGTAGATTGAGCAAATAGCATAACATCAACAATCCTGTGAACAGAATGTTACTGTTACCACAAGCATTAAATGCTAATGTGCAACTAACACTGAGTAAAATGTCCTGATCAATCAAATTCCAGATTAAAACTCTGCAGTGGTGGATGATTTGCACCAAAGAAACAGAACACTGAAACAGGAAATTGAGAAAATGCCAAAATGATGCTGATACTACTGAAGTCTCATGCACAAAATTAAATTCCAAAAGTTAGTGAGCGCTGAATGTTAAAGAACAATTACACGAAATGAAAACCACAAATAACTCCAGTAACAGTACCTGCCATCATCCAATTTTATCAAATTCACAGCTCCCTCATCAGTGCCAGTATAATAACTTCCTTTGACTAGCTTACATGGAAGGTTGATTGTGTCAGCAAGTACCTAAAAGCCAACATTTGGGTCACTAACTTCTCAAATTTGTAGCTCTTATAGTTACAATATCATGAGTAGCATATAGGTAAACGGCAAAACAAATGCTTTCAAGTCTGAACCAAATGCATCACTAATATGACCGAAATTTAAACTTAGATACTAATGTACCTATCAAGGTTCCTTTGGGTAACTTAGATACTAATGTACCCATCACGGTTCCTTTGGTCCCAAATCTAACTGAGGGTTAAAAAATGCATACACCAGAGAGGAAAGATATGGAACAATCAGTTACAACTTCCTAGTCAACATTATCAAAGTAGAAGAAAATATATTTCCCAAAGATGTTTAAGAAACAAGCCAAAGGAGCAGGGGCATCCTTTATACCTTGAATAGCAAGGCCCTTTGACGCGAATGTCCAATATCAAGGCAACCAAGGGGAAGAATGATTGTATTCAAATATATTCTTAACTCTTGATTCCTTGCTCTCCACCTTCTGAACATGTCTTCCACGTCAGAAACAGGGCCTCCCATTCTTTCAACAATAAGCTTGGCAATTTTTTGAACCAGAAGTCTAGTATTCAAGGTCCTGTCCAGAGCATGGTAACTCATGGACATAAAATGCACTCTTTCCTCAAGTTTCCGAAGTTCAATATCAACTGCACGATTCACTAAAACAACCTCACAACCAATGTGATCCAAGGCAGAAGTTGCTTCCAGTTCAGCTAGTGATGGCATTTTCGTTAGAACCACCAAATTTGAATCTACTCCACAAACATCATAGAAACCGTCCACTATTTTCTCATCATAATTCACAGCATTACAGCTCTGCATCACAAAAGAAGACAATGGAATTTTTATCAATCATTTAAATACATATAATATACAATGCACAAAGCACCTATAATTTTTCTCCTTTTAACCACCATTTAGGGGGAAGGAGGTTAGGGGACTGCATATAGAGAAAGCAGTGCTATATCTAATAACCAAAAATTGAGTGGCCCCTGTGTATCAGATGAATGAGTATCTCAAATACGGCTGTGACGGAGAAGTCTTTCAGCACGTTTAATGGTTAAGTAAAAATTACTCTTCATTTCCAAATGAAAGCATTCAACTTACTTCACAAGCACTTTTAGCACTTGGAACTGTGGTTTTGTTGGCGATGAATGATGAATGATAATAGTGTCTGATTGTTTATTATAGTCTGATTATAATTTCTCTTTGATTTTAGAATGAAAAAAATTACATTACATGCTTAATGTTTTCTAACTATAACTGCCTTGCATGGATTACCAAATATCACCTACACAGTTGGTGGCGGGACATTAATGACTATGACACCACCATCACAAAAATGTAGTATTTTTCGAACCAACTTCTATTATAAAAGTCCCATAACACGTAATAATATCTTTTATCTACAATTCTATATGCACAAATATAATGATATATTCACCTTCGATCCCTTTTTATATGCAAGAATATTGTTCTCCCTAATAAAATGTACTATTTATAGATACAATGAATCTGCGAAGTTAGTTGGGATTATGCATGATGGCGTAGCATCTTAACGACACGTGTTGTTCTTTAGTCATATGGAATAACCCGCCCACCGCTACACGAAAAGAAACAAACGTGCATGCATCTATTAATCAGGATACCTACACGTGGATTTGTAAATAAAGGCAAAACAAACGCAGAATTTATCTTCATCAGTAAAAATGATTTTACTAAAGTATGATCATGATGACATTATGCCTATCAAATGGCTCATTTAGCAAGAATCGCTAAATATGGATAAAAAGGTGGAAACGAATGCCGTAATTATAGACCATTAGTGCAACCTTTTAAGAACCTATTTGTGGGACTTCAGAATTTTCGACTGAACATGATGCTATAGCTGGCCATCCAAACAATACAAGACAGCGAGAGTAAAGGATAAATAAAATCAACAAAATTATTTTGAGTATCACATAATCCATTAGAAACATTGGCCTGCCAAGATAGAACTTTGAACTGAACAAGTCATTGAGTACAGTAAAATCAAACCTAGAATCAACAAGAAATAAAGAGAAAGAAAAACTTACCCAATATCGGAGCGACATAAACTCAGAGGGCTTCTGGGAAGGGGAACAGCCGAGACTAATCTGCTTTGCCGCATTGATTTGAGCAGTCTCCGGGTCAACGCGGCTTTGACCCGGATCCGAGACGCTAATCGCCATCGCCAGCTGCATTTGGAACTCCTCCTCGAAGAAATTGAAGCTGCCGCCGCTCGAGCTCCCGTTATCCGTCGCCACTTGAGCCGAATCAGACGGCGACGGCAACGAGGTGGCCGGCGGCTGTGCCGCCGGCGGAGAATCCGTCCGAGGGGAAGGATCGAGCGCGGCCGGCGGCCTCAGATGGTGATCGCCGATGTGAAGCTTGCGCAGAAAGTGTTTCACCTTGGACATTTTCGGCGTCTCTCATCGATCGGCGAAACCAAACAAAAAATAATAATAATCTGATAATTCACACAGTGCTGTACATAAAATTTCAACCAGAGGAAGATGATAAACCACTCTTCTTCCCTTGAATCGGATGAATTGCAGATTGAAGTAGGGTTTTTATATTTTGAGGAATTTGAGGGGGAGTTTAAGATGCGCACCGGTGGGTGGAAAAAATGCTGTCTTTAACCTGCGCCGTATGAGTCTTCGTCGTGAAGCTTAGACACGCACAGTGGGTGAATAAATTAACTGCTGCGTGGTTGCTTCCCTCCAAGTACGACTACAAATACAATTGTATATGTATATTAGTAAACTAGTGTTGATACCATAATACCATAATTTTTTTTTTACTATTTAAATATTACTAAACTATTAAAGCCAATATGCAATTCTATTCCACAGTATTTTATTCAGTAATATTATAAAATCTATTTATTTACTTTCATTTATTCTTTTATTATTAAATTTATTTTATATGTCTTGACTATTTAATATATAAAATTTATTTACATACAAATTATTTACATGTACTTATAAAATTATCGGTTATCTTCTTACTTTTTTAACAATTCATAATTTTTACATTATTCGATATTTGACCAACATTTAACCCATAATATTTATCATCCTTTGTTATAATTTTAAGTGCATGAAATGCTAAAATTTTTTATAATTACATTTTATTTTAAGTAACTTTAATCCTTATGGAACACAAATTTTTCATGGTTAAATATTTTATTTTATATTTTTATTTATATTTATTATTTTAATTTATTTTCTCAACCTATATAATGAGATAATTAGTATCTATTCGAATATTTAGATATATTATATATTTCTATAATTACTAAGTGCTATAATTTAAATTATGATACTAAACTATTTTATTTACTTATTTTATTTATAAATATATTATATAATAAAAATTATTTTTTTAAAAGAAAATTGAATAGCTTTTTAATGTATATATAGATATTTCTAAGGTGAAATTTATAATTATGATTTGTACCCGACCATCAAATATTAATTTTATTAATATATTATTTTAATTTTCAAGAGTATTATCACTACAAATGAGATAGTCAATGGAGTTTTACCTTTTTATGGTTAAGTTGACTACATTTAGAAAAATTTATTGATATTTTAAAATTTTCATTAAATTAATATGATTCAAACATAATTATTCTAATTAGTTTATTATACATTTTAAATACTTATATCGGTGAAAATAACCATCAATTTTTGTACTATATTTTATTTTTAATTTTCTCAATAAATGACTATGAAATTAATATTAAGATATTATTGAAAATATATCTAATCAATCTGCAGTCAAAATAATTCTATTTAAGTCAATGTATAGTTAATGAATATCAGTCATTGAGTACACAAAAAGTAATTAGTTTTTTCATATATAGATTTACCAACAAATAAAGATAAACTAAATGCTAAATATAGACGGAAAAAATCTCCGCCCAAAAATCATGCCAATTATAGAAATATGGATTGGTCCATTATATAGATATAGATATAGATATAGATATATATATAGATATAGATAGATGACAATACAATGCGTAGAGTCAAATTAAATTTAGGATAATCTGATTCTTAACTAAAAGAAATAATAAATGGTCCTAATTTAGATTCTTAACTAAACGAAAGAATAAATAATCCCAATTTAATTTGACTCGCTTATTAGTATTAACGGATCAAATTTGGTGTTAAGAAATCAAATGTGATATTAATGAATTGATTTCAAACAATAACAAGCAGAATTAAGATAACTATTCGGAAGATTTCGTGAAAATTCTACTCTCGAACATTAACGACCCAAGGTCTCCGAGCCAAGTCGAGCTTGACTCGATTATAACATGCTCATTTGTCTTTTCTTATTTTTTTTTATTTTTTTTTATTTTGGTGCAATTAAAGTAAACATATTTACTCCCAATTGTTGAATAATAATTAGTGGGATATTGTATAGTGTTCAACAAAAAGTTACATAATCAATGGTCAATAACGAGGAATGTTCTAAAAGGCAATAGTTTAGAACTTGATTTTCAGTAGGAACAGTTCAAGGATTATTTCAAATTTCAACTATATAACATTTTTTAATTTTTATTGTTGCTAAATTGTTTTAGCTACAATATGTACTGTTTTATTAATGAATTATGTAATTCAATAAATACTAATTCAATGCATTTTTAGTTATTGAATATAAGTCTCAAACCAAATGCAAGTGTTGTAAGCTATTGTAAAGTGGAGTTCTAACTGGTAAGGCTGCTTATAACTTCTAAGTATAGTATAAATTGCCACTTGATCACCATTTAAGTATGGTTTACAATAAGATAGTTTCACTACTTCATGAACAAGCGTTTGGCATATAACGTAGGGCAATTGTTACGGACGGAAATTCAACAATATGAATATTTAATAAAATTCACCCGATCCAGGTTTGAATAATTCAAAACTAGGAATTATGAAATAAAATACAATCACATCAGTCAATTTAATTGGTTAATTAGGGTGGTTGATATATTTTATTGCGTGTATAATACAAAATAAGTTTCTTTTGTATCTAGTCTAGTACAACTGAAGTGAGTTCTGTTGCTCCTCGTTTCTAGTACACTTTTGCCATGCTCAATACAAAGTAAAGATATACAGTGCCTTGCCACACACAAAAAGAATCACTCTCACAACTTATCACTAATTGTAGGATTTTTATTTTTTTTAAATTGAAGTTCGCATATTTATTAAAAAAATATTGTGTTTTAGACATATCTAACTGCATCCTAATGTTGTGGAATACACTTCCACCATAACTACTTGATTCCATTTCCATTAATAGATTTTCCTAGTCTTAAATCAACCATTACACTGAACTTCAAGATAATAATCACGACAAGGAAAAGAGAGTATATAGTATATACAACATTCCAAAGTTGCAATCAGCAACATAAAACAAGAAGATAAATTCTGAACATATATTGAAAGTAAATGGAACATAAAAATATTTTGGCTTTTTTTATGTACAACAAGGAGAAGATGATGATGCATCATAAATTAAGTAGCATTTGTTGTCCTTCACATCTGTGGGGAAAACCGAAAAAAACCTTTCGAAAGTCTCAAGCAGTGGCGGCAGCCGCCTCCTCTGCCATCTGAGACACCGGAAGGAGTGTGCAGATGAGGTTACGGTCACCATACACATTATCCACACGCCCTACGAGATTGAGAGAAAATTATATATAAAATTATGTATGTATATAACTATATATGTATGTATATAATATACGCGAACCTGTGGTAGGCCAAAATTTGGCGGTCTTGAGCCATGGGGCAGGGTAAGCAGCATACTCCCGTGAGTAAGGTTTTGACCAGACATCAGCCATAAGCAGTGATGGTGGGTGAGGAGCTCCCTGAAAATGCCGAGAGGAAAATAAAA